GCTGAGGTGTATGAGTAACCTTGGTGTATGCACACTGGAAAGCATTTACTCAGCATGGATCATGCCTTCTCTTCTTAGCCTTCCCCAGATTATATACTTTAGTCCTCCCCAAATCCAGGAAACCATGTGCGATTAGGGTCAAAATACAGTTGGCTGGGAAGGGTGGCTGGATACTCTGGTGAGGGTCCAATGACCTTGCTTGGCCCTCCTGTAATGAATGAGCACAACCATCAGCAAGCCCAGCTGTGACGATGTTTAGCGATCAGGCACAGCTGATGTTGTGATGACGGTAGTTATTTCATGCAGTAGAGGCTGCTGTACAGCATCATCTTATTAAAGAACATGGAATTTAAAAGGATTTGGTGCTAGGATCCACATATGAGGAAGAACATATGTCGTTTGTTTTTCTGAGTCTGTGTTACTTCACTCAGTATAACAGTTTCTAGATCCATCCATTTACCTGCAAATTTCATTATTTAATCTTTCTTTACTGCTGAATAGAACTCCATTGTGTAAATGGAGTTAACCATTTTTGTTAACCACTCGTCAGCTGAGGGGCACTTAGGTTGCTTCCGTCTCTTAGCTATTGTGAAAAGAGCAGCAACAAACATGATTGTACAAGTGTCTCTACAAGTAGGATGAGTCCTTTGGGTATATGCCAAGAAGTGGTATAATCTGTTCATATGGTAGGTTCATTTTTAGTTTTTTAAGACTTCTCCACACTGTTTTCCATAGGGGTTTCATGAGTTCCAATCCCACCAGCAGTGAATGAGTGTTCCCTTTTCTCCACATCCTTGCCAGCATTTGGTATCGTTTGTTATCTTGATCCTAGCCAGTCTGATTGGGGTAAGGTGATACCTTAGGATGGTCTTAATTTACATTTCCCTAATTATTAATGATGTTGAACACTTTTTGAGATGTTTCTTAGCCATCTTTATTTCTTCCTTTAAGAACTCTCTGCCTTTAGCCCATCTTTTAATTGGGCTGTTTGGTTTCTCAATTCTTTGTTTTTTGAGTTCTTTACATATTCTAGATGTTAAACCTCTGTCAGATGTGTCACTGGTGAAAAATTTTTTCCCATTCTGTGGGTTTTCTCTTCACTTTTTTGATTGTTTCTTTTGCTGTACAGAGGCTTTTTAGTTTAATGAGGTCCCACTTGTTGATTGCTGACCTTAATTCCTGAGCAACTTCTGTCCGATTTAGAAAATCCTTTCCTACACCTATATCCTGTAAGTTACTGCCAATATTTTCTTCTAATAATTTCAGGGTTTCCAGTTTCATGTTGCAGTCTTTGATCCATTTGGATCAAAGTGTAATTTGAAATCTGGTATAGTAATCCCCCCAGCCTTGCTCTTTGTGCTCAGGGTTGCTTTGGCTATCTGGGGTCTTTTGTGCTTCCACATGAATTTGTGCAAGCTGAGAGATAAGGATCTAGTTTCATTCTTCTACAGGTGGAGATCCAGTTTTGCCAGCACCACTTGTTGACGATGCACTTTCCTCCATTGTGTGTTCTTGGCACCTTTGTCAAATACCAGGTGGCTGAAATTGCATGTATTTGGGTTTGGGTCTTCAATGATGTTCCATTGATCTATGTATCTATTTTTGTGCCAGTACCATGCTGTTTTTATGACTATAGCTCTGTAGTGTAATTTGAGATCTGGTATAGTAATCCCCCCAGCATTGCTCTTTGTGCTCAGGGTTGCTTTGGCTATGTGGGGTCTTTTGTGCTTCCATATGAATTTAAGGGTGGTTTTTTCTATTTCTGTGAAGTATGTCATGAGGATTTTGATTGGGATTACATTGAATCTATATGCTGATTTTGGTAGGATGGTCATTTTCACAATATTAATTCTTCCAATCCACGAGCATGGGAGGTCCTTCCATCTCCTGGTTTCTTTCTCAATCTCTTTCGTTAATGATTTAAAATTTTCATTGTAGAGATCTTTGGTGTCTTTGGTCAGATTTATTCCAAGATATATATTTTTTGCAGCAATTTGTGCCCTTCCTGAAAGATTATTTTTCCATAATCTTTGCTTGAATGGTCCAGTTCTTCAACTTTATCCTCCAGTGTTGTTACTCTGTTTTCCATTTCATTCATTCTAGCGGTGAGGCTTTCCCCTGTTGTTTCAAGTTGGCTTATTGAGTTTTGCACTTCTTTCTTCATTTCTGCCTGAGTTTTCTTCAATGTTTCTATATCTTATGTGAATTCAGTTAGAAGTTTATCCCTATCTTCTTTTAGTTCTTTGATTTGTTTCTTTATGTGTTCTTTAAATTCGTTGAATTCCTTGATCATGTTTATGATTGTCCTTTTAAATTCAGTGTCCTGGGTTATCTCTAGGGGGCTCTCAATAGCGGGTTCTCCTTGTAGAACTCCTCTACAGGACTGGTGGAGTTTGGTGGGGAGCATAGTGTTTTGCCTTTCCATTTTATTATTCTTTCGTTGTGATTTTGGCATGTGAATTTCTTTTGTTGTTTATGATTCTGATATGAGAATTAAGTTGAAGTATGCTTCTGTTTGTATTATCAGGTGCCTAGGTTCTTTCCTTATTGGTTATGTAAAGCTGGTTGGTACAGATTTCAGGTTCTCTCAGGTTTTATTTTGAAGGGAACTGATGACTTTTTATCAGTTATTCAAGGGTACCCACAGAAGCCCAATTCAGGTTCTGGTCAGGTATACTCAGGCTTCCTTCTAAGGTTTGGACCCCTATTAGCAGGAACTCAGAGAAAATTTGGGAAATTCCCTAAGGGAGGGGGGGACGGTTTTGGGACTCTCAGTTGGTCTGCTGTGTTCTCAACTCCTATTGCCAGAGGGAGGCCAGAACCCAGCACTCTCTGGAGGTCTGCTGGGATCATAGCTGCTATACCCATGATGTAAGAACCTACCCTCTCAGGCTGTCTGCTAGGATCTCAGCCTTAGCCTACCAAAGCAAGATCTGTCCTGGGGCCTTGGTAGGGGCCTCATGAAATCCCAGGTAAGGGGATGGATATCGCTCAATTAGGAGAAGCTCACCACCATATGGAGGCAGGATCTAGGTGCTCTCAGGCAGTCGCCTGCATTCTCAGCCCCTATGCCAGAGAGAGGCCAGAAGCTGGCACACTCTGGCAGTCTGCTGAAATCACAGCCACTACACTGATGGAGGTCAGAACCCATCCTCTCAGGTTGTTTTGATCTGGTCTTCTTTAAGGCAGTGTTGCTAGGTAGGCTGACCAGGCTCCAGTGAATGAACTTAAACCAAGGGACATCTGGGGATACAAGCTCAACTTAATAGGCCTTAACATATATGACAGAATGCATGAAATCTGGTGGGTGGAATTATAGGGTTATGTAGATAGTGGAAGGGGGTCCAAATATGATTACTGTATTGTATAAAATGCATGAAAAATTCAGTGAAAATATATTGTAAAATTTAAAAATTAAGTGCATACTTCACAGGAAAAAAAAGAGGTTATTTAAATTTTCAGTGTGTAAAAAAAAATAACCAATAGGGCCAGTGAGATGACTCAGTAGGTAGGTAGATGTGCTTACCACCAAGACTATCTGAATTCAATTCCTGGGACCCACATAGTGGAGGAGAGAACTGACTCCTCTACGTAATCTGATCTTCACATGCATGGTGTGCCCCCCCCCAGTCAATAAATAAATGCGATTAAAAAAAGACCTTGTTTAGCATACCTCAGACACTAGTAAGGCATGAGAGTGTCTCGCAAATAGAGAAGATATTTCTGCAGTGGGTGTTGTTTCGCCTCTAGAGTAAAATACAATCTGTAAATATTTTAAGCCTTATCCTAATAATATTAGTATTATTGTTTGGAACTTTGAGCTCTTATTCTTAAGGGTAACAATTTAATTAAGAAAAATACAATTTATTTTTAGACTTTTATGTTCAAAAGTTTGAATAGTAATGACAAAACAATAGCATAGAAATGAGAAGTATTTAGCTCATAAGTTTGAATAGTTTGCTTAGGATTCTATGTAATATAATATTTACCATTTACCTTTTCTTCCCCTGTACCCCAAACAGAAACCTTGATCCTAGCGAGCTGTGTTGGACCCATTGACCTGCTTAAGGCTTATTCATCCCTTTAGAAAGACTTTTGTTATATTTGTTATATGACATATCTACCTATATTCAGCTATCAGTCCATTTTACCTTTTCAATGTTTTCAAAGTAGATTGTAGACATCAGTATACTGCAGGGGTAGGTTCTTGTTGTTAATTATCCCTATCTTACATTATTGGGAACTGACACACAGAGAAGTAATTTGTTCAAGGTCACAATTTGTTCAAGCTGTGTTTTTTGGTTAAATTCATTTATTTTTATTTTATGTGTATGAGTGTATTGCCAGCTTAGAGTTCAGCTAAACCAGTGTTTTCACTTTAGATGAGGGAACTGAGACTGTGTGCAAATTTTGGTAGTGCAAACTAACATACACTCATATTCTTAGTGACAGAAATTGAGCTACAACATAGTCCAGAATCTATGCATGGTACTTAGGTACTTTGTATTGTTAAATAATGGAATATAGTTCTTGTAAATTTATCTAGTTTTCACTACAAATCTATTTGTGTATTATAAGTTTTGTTTATTTTTAGTCTTTATGTTGATTTAACCTTTGGTACAAATGATACCTAGGTACTAAATTCTTAAGTTTTATTGTAATGTAAGACATAAAAATTGTATAAAACGTAATTATACCACCTTGTAAGTAATAGCAAAAACCCATACTAAGAAAGAAAACTTCGGAGCTGGGTATGGTAGTATGAGCCTTTAATCCCAGTACTCAGGAATCAGAGACAGGTGGATCTCTCTGAGATCAGGCCAGCCTGGTCTACATAGTGAGTTCCAGGCCAGTTAGGGCTACAGAGAGACCCTGTTTCAAAAAGCCAAAAGGAAATAAAGAAAAAAAGAAATAAAACTTTGCTGGTACCTCAGAAGCTCGACAGATGCCTTCTGTTGCTGATCCCTTTCTTTCTTTTTTTTTTCTCTTTCTCTCTTTAGCCAACTTAACGGGACATGCAGAGAAGGTGGGAATTGAAAATTTTGAGCTGCTGAAAGTCCTAGGAACTGGAGGTAAATCTCAGGTTTATTCCCTTTTTTTAAAGGAAAAAAAGTACTTGTTATTCTATGACATAGGATTGGTATCTTCATGCAGTAGTCAGTGAAAATTTTAGAAGCATGAGAAGCCTAGTAAGAAAACTGTCAAAATGGACATGAAACCAGGTGTGGTGGCTCACGCCTTTAATCCCAGCACTTGGGAGGCAGAGACAGGTGGATCTTTGTGAGTTCGAGGACAGCCTGGTCTGCATAGTGAGTTCCAGAACAGCTGGGGCTACAGGGAGACCCTGTCTCAAAAGGACAAAAAAAAAGGGGACATGAACAGACTCATTGTAGAAGAAATTTAGAAGACAGAAATAATTAAAGAATCTCTTGCCTGGCTAATCCCAGAACTTTAGAGGGCAGAAGCAGCACTATCAAGAGTTCAAGGCCAGCCTGAGCTATAGCTGTATATAGCAAAGACCTTATCTCATGAAAAAAAAAAAGTCTCTTTTAACCTAATGTTGGGAATGTAAATTAGTGTGGTTTTACATAGGACACAGTATTGTTTTTTTAAAAAATCATTAACATATACATAGAGCTTATTATGTGCCAAGTACCTTATGAAATGCTTTATATTGATCGACTTACTCAGTCTTCCCTTAATGCTATTGTAATTCAGTGCGCATCATTGTAATAATGAACTAATCAGAACCTATCATTAAGGGTTTGGCTAATTTATCATGGATCTATTTATGTTCTGTCTTTTATGTAAGATTGAAATGATCTGTTTTTTATAAACGTTTTAGAAAACTTTTCCCAAAGTCATAATTTTTTAAAAAAACCAACCGCAGAGGAAAATGTGCACTGTACCATTTACATAATATAAGCAATTATATGAATAAATTTCTGCATGTATTATGTGTGTAGGAAAGTCTTTGGGGTGTATACAAAATGTTAACATGATTACCTATGGGTGGGAAACTTTGATTTGTTGACTTTATAGTTTGTTGTAGCTTCTGAAAATTCTCAACCTCAACTCCTGCTGCATAGAAGCCTGGCTGGATTCACAGGCAGATATCTAACCTGTTTAGTTCTAAAGATCCCTAACTCAGAAGAGCCCTGTGTGTAGTAAAATGCTGTGCTGTCACCATTCTGGAGTTCATTCAGAAACAAGAATGCATACACTTCCATTTTGCACTGGGCCCTACGTCTGGACTGTTTTGCTGTACTGTTAACACAGATGTGAGAACTGACTATTCTCCTTTTCCTGTCTCCAGTATTACTGAAGATGAGGCTCTTAACTCTTTATCCTGAAGAGGCCTTGAACTTTTCCCTGGAAGGAGTAGCAATGCATCAGAGGCAGACCATTTTCCTTTCCCCAAAGTTGAGCTTTACAGTTTGAGGAACATATGTGCTTTCTTAGATTTCTAGGCCCTGGTTGGATAGATTGTACCTGCCAACTTTTTGACAGAAGAGAAATCTCCTGGGATTCCACAATTAGTCCTACTGCCCTAGCCTCACACATACGTGTTTACATTCACTTGTGCAAATTTTCTTTAGGTCATTCAGTAATGAGTTTTCGTGCCTAGGGTCCCATTATACTAGGTCTTCTTAGCCTCCCTGAATAGTTTGGGCTTTAGTACAGAGCGAACTTACAGCTACAAATGAATAGACCTGATAGTTTATTCCTATCAGCTAAGGTTTTAATGCTAGAAATGGTCTAGTGCACTTGTCAATTTCGACATTTCCCAGTGTGATTTAGAGACTGGGAAGATGGCTCAGTGGATAAAGGCCTGACCACCTCAGTTGGATCTTTAGGACCTACATAGTGGAAGGAAAGAACCAACTCCTGCAGGTTATCTCCTGACCTTCACATGTGTGCATGCCTCTCCCCCAGTTATAAATAAATATGACCAGCAAACATCTTTCAGCCTCTTCTAATACATGATTCACACAAAATTTGTGCAGAGCAGAATCAGAGTTTTCAAAAGTGGCAAAGTTTGTAAGTTATCTTATGTCCCCGAACTGTGGCAGTGCCAATGATGAACTTTTAATTGCTTCTGATGCAGATGACGATTTATAGTTCACCTTCACCACGTTGAGATTGACAGTACTGGCACAGGAAGAAGGTACTGTCAAAGCATTAATAGTCTGCTGCACCTAAAAGGCATGAGCCAGACACATATTGGGCATGCAGTCTAGGTACACAGTCAGATGTAGGAAGTGACATGGATTGCTGAGGACAAGGGAGTGCTAGGCAATGAGGCCAGGCAGTGGATGGGAGAGCACAGCAATGCTCAATGCGCAGTCCCTGGGACATAGCAACAGCCTGCCTACCACTGAAGTTTTCTTAATGGGTAGCTTCTCAAGAGTAATGCCTTGTACATAGTAGTTTCTCAGTAAATAATGAATAAAGGATTGAATATGAGTATACTCTCCTCATATATTATAGAATTTCTGTAACAATCCTTGAATATTTGAAAGCAAGTTACTGGGGGTTTTTTATTTTTATTTTTTTGAGACAGGGTCTCCCTGTAGCCCCAGCTGGCCTGGAACTCACTATGCAGACCAGGGTGGCCTTGAACTCACAAAGATCTGCCTGCCTCTGCCTGCTGGGATTAAAGGTGTGTGCCACCATGCTCGGCTACCAGTTTTTTGTTTTTATTTATTATTTTTATTTATTTTATGTGTATGCGTGTATTGCCTGCGTGTAGGTAAGTGCACCCGTGTCATGCAATGCCTGTGGAGGTCAGAAGAGTCTATTGGATCCCCTGGGACTGGAGTTACAGTCAGTTGTTAGCTGCCATGTGGGTGCTGGGATTTGAACCCGGGTCTTCTACAAGAACAAGTGTTGTTAACTGCTGAGCCATCTCTCCAGCCCCTGGTTTTGGGGGAGGGTTTTTTTGTTTGTTTGTTTTTTTTAATTACAATATTTACCTTGTCTTTGTTCTAGAGATTGGAACTTAAATTTTTTTCCATGTTAAGATTATAGAAATGTTGACTTTTATGCTCTTAATAAAAGTTAGTAAAACAGCACAGTTGATCAAATCTATTTGCATAGTTTTACCTCTGCTTTCATTAATTTAATTAATGTAGCATTTACTTTTAAATAGGGTTATACCAATTATTCCTAAAATTGATTAAAAAAAAAACGCTCATACTGAGATCATGTTTTATTCCTGGTACAGATAAAACGGCATGATAGTTAGTGGTAAAACCTATCATCTACTGAACTTTCTCAAACATGCTATGAAAATGTAAAATTAATGAATTTTCTCCATCACATTTTATAGCATGTAACAAGAATCATAAAACTAACTCTGTTACTTGGTCTGATAATATTATACATGACAGTATATTCCAAATTTAGAAATAGAAATGAAAAGATAGTTTATTTTCCCCTGTGTGTTAGATGATAGCTGATATCTTGAAAACCCTTTTCATTATCAAATTCCCAAAGTTCTATATGAAATAGACTTTAGAACTAGGTCTGCTACTAACTGCATAGATGAGTTGAGAAGAATAAGGAAAATCCTTAGATACAGAAGTAGAAATGGGAGCAGGAATCTGGAGAACTAAGCAAGTTCCCTTCAGACAAAGGTTTTGCTAGGAAATTGACAGTAAACTTGTGGGTGAGGTTTTGAATTTACAGTTTTCATGCTTGGTATGGAAGACAGCATCTAAGGCTCTCAAGAAGTAGGGACAACTGTCATTAAAAGAAAAAAAAAATCCAGCCTGCAAAGGGGGATGGAAAAGAAACATCTGACTCAGCATTGACTGAGGAGTTAGGAGGGAAAACATAAGTCTTCTTCAACATTCTCAACCATAAGATAGATGTCATGTTGGTTTGGAAATTCAATATTTATACACTACATAATAATAATTGAAAACCCAAGAAGTTATGGATTTAGCTTACAGCAGTTCTACGTTGGTGGTGTGCCCAGGTATATAGAAAAGCAAATAGAAATCCTCTTAGGATAAATAACCTCTTACCATGTCTCTCTGCGTATATATGTGTGTGTATAGGGGTGGTGGTATATGCAATGTGTTTGTATGTGCCTGTGTGTGGTCAGAAGTTGATGTCCCATGTTTTCCTTGATCATTCTCTCTTTTTTGTTTGGTTGTTTTAAAGACAAAAGTCTCTCACTGAATCTGAAACTTATTAATTCAGCTGGGCTGGCTACCCCAGAGCCAGGGTTGTAGATAAATGCTGCTGCACCCAACTTTTACGTGGCTGCTTGGGGATCTGAACTCAGGCTTCCTGCTTGCCCTGCAGGCACTTTAGAGATGGAGTCATCTCTTAAACCCTTACCTATATATTAAAGGAAGTACTAAAAGTACACAGGTTAAGACCTTACTATCAAAAGTTGCAGACATCCAAGAGGAAGGCCCCAGAGGGAAAGATTGGAAACAAAAAAGCAGAATTTATTAATTTTAGGTACGAAATTGATGTAAATGCTTATGCTTATTTTAGTAATGTATTTCAGTTGTAAAATAATTGTATATATTTATGGGGTAGAATATGGGATTTTTAAAAATCTATGTATACTTTGAACAAAGATTTACTCAAGTTAATTGACTAACATGTTTATCAGCTTACTGAATTTTTTGTAGTGAGCATGTTTAAAAAAATCTATTAGCATGGGGCTGGAGAGATGGCTCAGCAGTTAGGAACACTGGTTGTTCTTGTAGAAGACCCGGGTTTGAATCCCAGCACCCACATGGCAGCTAACAACTGTCTGTAACTCCAGTTCCAGGGGATCAGACAGCCTCTTCTGTCCTCCATGGGCATTGCATGGCACGGGTGCACTTACCTACATGCAGGCAATACACGCATACACATAAAATAAAAATAAATGAAATATGAAAAAAAAATTTTAAATCTATTAGCTATATTGAAATATATAATATATTATTGTCTTTAACTGTGGTTACTATGCAGTACAATAGTATAATACTAAAACTTATTCTTTCAGTTTACCTGAAGCTTTCTGTCTTTTGATCAACATCTCAAAGAGACTGGAGCTTGCTAT